TGATAATTTCTCATTCTAAAAGAAGTTAACATTTTTTTAAATATCATTCATGAATATGCCTTTTCAAAGACACCTGAAGCACCTGTATCCTGCCATGTTTCTTTGAAATCCATCTCTGTACTTGTACTCTACTCTTGACTCCCTATGCCATTCCCCACAATGACTTTTCCTTTTTATCTTATCCCCGACTTGCACCCCATTCCACCACCACACTTAGTCCCTGATTTCTCATCTAACTGGGACAGCTTCAACTGCCTTCCTCCATTCCTCCTTCCCTTCTTTTCCTCTCTAGTCCAAGAAGGAGCATCCTTACTCTTCCCTGAGGCTAATCCCTTAACTTCTACCTTTTGTCACACACCTGAAGGATATTTCTCTAGCATTCACCCTATCTTTCCCATGCATCCAGTATCTCTCCCTTTCCAATAACACCTTATCTGCATGCTTAGAGTCACCTGGATCCTAAAAGAATTCTGACCTTGTGGCCTTATCCAGCCATTTTTTTCTCCTTTTTTGCTGCTAATTTTGTTAGGGGGAAATACCTACATTGAATGCCACTACTACATCACTACCTGCTGTCCTCCTGATCTCTTCTAATCTAACTTCTCTCCTCACCAAAACTCCTTTCTCAGGGAGCACCAATAATCTGCTAATTGCTAAATGCAATCTCCTTTTTTATTTTTTAAACCTCTCTGCAGCACTCTTCTCCCTTTGTTTAAGAGACACAAGACTTTCTGGGTTCACTTCATACCTCTCTAATGCTCCTTCACTGACTCCCTTTCTGACTCCTGATCCTCTGCCAGACCCCTTAAAGCCTCAACATAGAGAGTGGTTTTCTTCCCCCTAAAGCTGATATTCCTAAGGTTTTGTCCTGAACCCTCTCCTCTTTACTCTTTTGAGATTGTCTTTCCTGACAATCTCATTCATTCCTATGACTTTAACTACAAGACATTTCCACTTGCATATAGAATATCATCTCTACCAGGATTTCACCACTACCTGAAAGTCAACAGCTCTAAAACTGAGCATTCAATCTTTTCCCCAAAACTACTCATTCTCTTAAATACATATTTGTACGTGTGCAAGCATGTGTGTGTGTGTGTTTTTGTTTGTTTCTGTCAGTGGTCCCAGCACTCATTCAGCCTACTATGTTTGAAACCTTGGTATTGGCCTTGCTTCTTCTCTCTCCTTCACTGCTCATGTTTATTTATTTCTTTTAAATGTGATTTTTTTTCAGTTAACAAGCTTTTATTCTCTCTCCTCATCTCCCCATTCCCCAATTCAACAAAAAAAGAAAAGAAAAAGAAAACCTCATAAAAACATGCATAGTCAAGTAAATCAACTCACATTAGCCATGTCCAAAAGTGTATGTCTAGTTCTGCATCTTCAAGCCATGACCTCTCTTGAAGGTGGTGGGTAGCATGTTTTATCCTCAGTCCTCTGGAATCCTGCAATCAGTCATTGCAGTGATAAGAGTTCTTAAACTCTTTCAGAGATGAACAGCACCTCACGGGATTGGTGTGAGGATCAAATGAGATAATATTTGTTAAGCTATTAATAAAGAGTCTGCCACACACAGCAGGTGCTTCATAAATGCTTGTTCCCTTCTCCATAAATTGTTCTCCTCACCTCTCATGTACAAGTTGACACAAACGCTGTCAATTCCATTTCTTTAGCAAGGTTTGCATCTATTCTTTCTTCCCTTTGCAGACTGATACCACCTGTCTCTTTCCTTACCACCCATGCAGACTACTATAGTAGTCTTCTACCTCCATTCTGCCAGGTTTCTCTCTGCCATCTTGGCTCTGCCCTCCACCTCCATTCTTACCCTACTCAAATCCATCTGTCATATCAACATGAAGCTAATTTTATGCTCATGTCAGTCTTTTGCTCAAAAAATCTTCACTGGTTCCCTAGTGGCTGTCAGGGAACATTCAGACTCGTATCTCTGACATTCAAGGCCCCCCACGCACAATTGCCACTTTCCCCTTCCAATGTTATCTCACTCTCAGTCAAGCTGTACTATTCTGTCCCATTGTTTTCCCAACATAATGTCTTTTACTCATACAGTTTCTAGGACCTCCTAGACTATACTCCCCTCCTTCACTTACTAAATTGTGGCTTGAAAGTCACTTCCTCCAGAAAGTCTTCACTGATTCTGAATATTGGTAATGCCACTTTGCGCTAAGATCATCCTGAGGACTTTATTCTGTGTCTCTCCACTGTATCTAACATATATTCTGGGGGATTATTTTATAGCCCATTGGACTGTAAGTTTCATACTTTAGCCATGAATTATCTAAACTGTATATCTTCCCTCAGTGACTACCATTGGGTCTTCAAGGTAGGGGCTTAACAAATAATTTTAATTTGTTTGTAGAGGTGTTTTTGAGCTTAGACAAGCATTTTATGGCCTCAATCCTGTCTCAACAATGGATTATCAGATTTAGAAGTGAAAGAAACATTAGAGAGTATCATGTAATCAGAGGATCAGAGGCTTTCAAGCTGAAAGGGAGCATAGAGGCTCTTATTTAAAAATAAGGGACAGACAATTGAAGAGATTTGTCCAAGATTATACAGCTATTAAGTGTCTGAGGTAGGATTTGAACACTCCTGACTGAGCCCAGAGCTCTATTCACTATTACATCATCCTTCATTTTAAAGGTAAAGAAAATAAGTCCTTAAGGGATTTGGTGATGAAGGGATGTGAAGACGTGAATCCAGGTCAAATCTATACCGTTATAACTTGCTACTTCTCAAGTTTTCTGTTAGTAAGCTAAAGAGACTTAAAGCTAGATTTCTCAAAGAATAATGATGGGATTTGGTTTTCTTGGATGTAGTACTCCTATCCAATAATGACAGCAGAAGGCTTCAATACTCCAAAAGCTCTGTGGTATTCATAACAAAGCTACTCTACCAATGCTGGTTACAATCCTTTCACTACCTTATTGGTCATCTATGAGTTGCTAAGAGCAAAAAATTAAAAAAACAAAAACACAAAACCATGAATGCAAAGACTGTTAGTTATCCTTTTAGTGATAAGTATCTCCAAATTTAGCTGAATAGAAGTCTATCCACATTTGTAACATCAGCCAAAATTTCTGTTTCCCCGGCCTAACCTTCATGTCACATCTGGGCCATAAGGAGACCACAAACTGAAATCAATCCTCACATTGAGGAACAGCAAAATATTTAAAAGTTTCTTAAATTTGTTTTTCTCATTGAAATGCAAAAAATGTGACTACTATGATTCATTTCAAAAACTGTGTTTCATTTCAGGCTTGATGTTTGTATATTAAATAGAAAACTTATTAAAAATCTATTGCTTAAAGCAGAGGTGGCCAGTACTTGTCAGGAACCACAGTAACATGTAGTTGGGAAATATTTAAACAAAATAAATAAAAATACAGTAAAACATAGATAATGTTAATTTGTGGTTATCTAAGTGACTATGCACCACATGTACAATTTAGTGGGCTCCATTTCTGCTTGAGTTTGACAGCATTCATTTAAAGCATGTCCGCAAAAAAGAGATATGAAAAGGAAGCTTCTCCTATTCCCCAGAAGTCATGGGAGGTCCACAAGTGTGGAACACTTGTTACGTTCAGATATTTTTTTACGTTTTCGTCACTTTTGCTGATTGCTTTTTCTCTTCTTCCCCTTTTTTTCCTTTTAAAAATATCATTTATTATACTACATAGCTCTCTGATGGGAGGGGGAAAAAATGGGGAAAATTTAGCTGATATAAAAACAAAAATATCAATACGATTTATTTTTTAAAATTTATCAATATTTTAAATATCAGTAAAAAAAACTAAGTGCCTCTTTTGGAAAAGCATATTATAATTATCTAGCCATATGCTATATTTTTGTGGTTTCCTCCTTGACACTCAGCAAACTTCTGGGCTCTTTCCCCTACCATGTGTTAGTTTGGGCTTGGGGAATATAATTTTAATATTACCCTCAAACATATTTAAGAAATCTGATGCTAAAAAAATCATAACATGTTATTTTTAATTTATTCATTCAATTTGTAGTTTGTGTTAGATGCCAGGGGAGATACAAAGACACATAAGTCAATGCCCAGGGAGCTTTCCATTTTAGTAAGAGGCCAAAATATATAGATATATTAAAAGAAAAAATTCAACAACAATAACAAAAACTACCACAAACACTTATGAGTTCATGAACTAGAAATATTCCAAGAGTCAATTGATGTCTAAAACTCCCCCTACGTTTTCCCATTGAAACTATGCTTTAAAGAATCTATCCAATAAGGTTCTGACACTAGCCCGCAGAACTTATTTAAGTATAACTGTGCTATAGTAGTTATAATACTAAATTGAAATCTGGTACCTGGAAATGTGGAGCTACATAGTAGTACACAAGGAAAAGCAAGGGAGAAGAAATAAAAAATTATGCTCCCTTCAGAGGGCAAGTTCTTGGCAAAATATGAAAATATGGAAATACAGACATGTGGTGTTCTCTATTTTTCTGTAGTCTACTGTATTATCACCTTTCCCAGCACCCTTGCCTGGGCCTGCTTTACCTCCAAAGTGGCTCATGCTCCCAAATATCCTATCCACCTCTACATACCACCCCTTTCCCTGTCTCAAATATACACACACAAACCCAGAACTCCCTTTCCTTCAGTATAGTGGATCTCAGGTGTCAGGAGTGAAATAATCCAAGTGCACTAATTCATACTGTGTAAATTAATAACTTTAATTTGTACGCATTTTAAAAACACTTTTTGATAGATTATTCAGTGGTTTTACATAATTTATTTCAAAGAATGATAAGAAAAATATTTTTGGATTGGCAAGATACTATTTGGCAGCTCATCCCAGCCTGGTAATCTAACCCCTCTCAGGGTCAGTTCCTTTTAACTTGTTCCTGCTGTTCATAGCTTCTTCAAATACTCAGCTTCTGAAATCACAAGTTGATTCTATAAGTCCTCTAGAGTTTTTTGTTTTGTTTTTTTGTTTTGTTTTCCTTGGCAGCTTTTGCTTGGTTGGTTTTTGGCAAGGTGATTATGGCAGGGGAGGAGGAGAAAGTAGTTATCAGAGAATGAAGACATGACAGTGGGACAAGAACGGTAAGGTGTAATTATATTTAGAATACTACCTACTACCTATCTCTGAGGGTTGTTGGGAGGAAAGCACTTTGTAAAACAGAAAGCACTACCCTGAACATTGTACATAATAACGGCAACATTGTGCGATGACTTTGTTAGACTTAGCTCTCCTGAGCAATGCAATAATTAAGACAATTGCAAAAGACTCATGATGGAAAATGCTATCCAAGTCCAGAGAAAGGACTATATGCATACTATTGAAGCATAATTTTCTCCTTTTTTTGTTTTTGTTTTTTCTTTCTCGTGTTTTTTCCTTTTGTTCTGATTCTTTTTTCATAACATGACTAATGTGGAAATATGTTTACTATGATTGTACAGGTATAGCCTATATAAGATTGCATGCCATTTGGGGGAAGGGGAAGAGAGGGAGGGGGGAAATTTAGAGCACAAACTCGTATAAAAGTGAACGTTAAAAACTAACAATTAATTAATTTTTTAAAAAAGGTGAGCACTATCCAAATGTGAATTGTTGGTATTCTATTCCTGCTAAGAAAATGAGAGGGTAGGGGCAGCTAGCTGGTGCAGTGTATAGAGCACTGGCCCTGGAGTCGGGAAGACCTGAGTTCAAATCCAGCCTCAGACACCTAACACTTACTAGCTATGTGATCCTAGGCAAGTCATTTAACTCCAATTGCCTCACTAAAAAAAAAAAAAAGAAAAGAAAATGAAATGACAGAGATAATAAATACTCTAAGAACTTAGGAAAGAGAAAGAGTAGTGAAGACTAGAGCAGATGAAGAAGACATATAAGGAGTTAGGACTTATCTGGGTATATGATGGGGTAGGCTTTGGATACGGAAGAATAATGTAGTGAAAAGAACCATAGACTTGGAGTCAGGAAGACCTGGGGTCAAATCCTGCCTCACATACTAATTGGTTGTCAAGGCAAAAATCCCTCTAGGGACACAACGTGATCCTATTCCATCTCATCTTCTCCAACAGAATGCCTCTTCTGCCATCTCCACTTTCACTTATCTTCCCTCTCTCCCTTGTAGGCTCCTTCCCTACTGCTTAGAAACATATCCATTTTTTCCCCATCTTCAATAAACTTACATGATCCTTCCATCCCCACTATCATCCTATATATCTTCTGCCTTGCATAGCTAAACTCCTGCAGAAAGCCATCTATAATAGATGTCTCTACTTCCTCTCCTCTCACTTTCTTCTAAATCCCTTACAATTTAACTTCTGATTTCAGCATTCCACCAAAATTTCTCTCTCCAATGTGCCTTATAATGTCCTAAATGCCAAATCAAATGGTCTTTTCTTGATCCTCACTCTTCTAGACCTCTCCACAGCCTTTGACACTGTCAACCATGCCCTGCTCTTTGACGCTCTCTTTCTGGGTTTTTAGGACACCATTCTCTCTGACTTCTCCTTCTGCTTATTTGAGCATTCCTTCTCAATCTTCTTTGTTGAATCCTCACCCAGGTCATGACCATCAATCATGAGTGTCCCACAGGACTCTCTGTCTTTGGCCTCTTCTCCCTCTATACCACTTCACTTAGTGAACTTATCTGCTCCCATGAGTTTAATTATCATCCCTATGCTGATGATTCTCAAATCTATCTATCCAGCTTATCTATCTACCTCTCCATTTACTTCCAATTTCACATCTTCAACTGCCTTTCAGGAATCTCAAACTGGATGTCCAGTTAGAGTATTTTTTTTCATTTGGCTATAGAGAGCTTTGGTTACTTCATCTGAAAATTGATCATATCTTTTGATCATTTATCAATTGGGGAATGGCTCTTATTTTTATAAATTTGACTCAGTTCTGTATATGTTTGAGAAATAACGCCTTTATCAGAGAAACACGCTTCAAAATTTTTCTTGCAGTTAGTATTGCTACTTCCCTCTATCCTATTCCCCCTTCCTATTTATTCTATTCTCTCTCTCCTTTCCCCCTGTTCCTTCTCAAAAGTGTTTTGCTTCTGACTACTCACTCCCCCAATCTGCCTTCCCTTCTATCACCCTTCTTTCCCTCCTTATTTCCTGTAGAGTAAGATAGATTTCTATACCCAATTGCATGAGTATGTTATTCCCTCTTTTGAGCCATTTCTGATAAGGGTAAGGTTCATACACTCCACCTAACCTCCCCCTACTTCCCCTCCACTGTAAAATTTTTTCTTGCCTCTTTCATGTGAAATAATTTACCCCATTCTACTACTCCCTTCCTCTTTGTCCTAATATGTTCCTCTTTCACCCCTTAATTTTATTTTTTAGATATCACCCCTTTATATTCAACTTAGACTTGTGCCCTCTATCTATATATACTCCTTCTAATTACCCTAATAATGAGAATGGTCTTGTGAGTTACACATCTTAACTTCCCATTTAGGAGTGTAAACACTTTAAACTTATTAAGTCCCTAATGATTTCCCTTTCCTGTTTACCTTTTTATTCTTCTCCAGTCTCGTATTTGAAAGCAAAATTTTCTATTCAGCTCCAGTCTTTTCATGTTTCAAAGTGGCCTCTCTCATTGAATGCCCATTTATTTCCCCAACGGGTTACACTCAGTTTTGCTGGGCATGTAATTCTTGGTTGTCATCCTAGATCATTTGCCCTCCAGCATATCATTTCAAGCCCTCTCATTCTTTAACGTAGAAGTTGCTAAATCTTGTATTATACTGACTGTGGCTCCATGGTACTTATCGATTCTTGCAATATTTTCTTCTTGACCTGGGAATGCTGAAATTTGGCTATAATATTCTTGGTAATTTTCATTTTGGGATCTCTTTCAGGAGGTGATCAGTGGATTCCTTCAATTTCTTTTTTACCCTCTGGTCCTAGACTATGAAGGCAGTTTCCCATGATTTTTTTGTTTTGTTTTGGGCGAGGTAATGGGGGTTAAATGACTTGCCTAGGGTCACACAGCTAGTAAGTGTCAAGTGTCTGAGGCCAAATTTGAACTCAGGTCTTCATGATTCCAAGGCCAGAGATCTATCCACTGCACCACCTAGCTGCCCCTTTGATTGATGATTTCTTGAAAGATGATGTGTAGGCTCTTTTTTTTAATCATGGCTTTCAGGTAGCCCAAAAAATGTTAAATTATCTCTCCTGGATCCATTTTTCAAGTCAGTTGTTTTTCCAATGACATAGTTCACATTGTCTTCTATGTTTTCATTCATTTGGTTTTGTTTTATTGTTTCTTTGTTTTTTTAATTTTTTTAAATTTATTTTTAGTTTTCAACATTCACTTGCACAAGTTTTTGATTTCCAAATTTTCACCCCATCTGCCCCCTAACCCCACCCCAAGATGGCATGCATTCTGAATATCCCTCCCCTAGTCTGTCCTCTCTTCTATCTCTCCCCCTTCTCTTATCCCCTTCACCTTCTATTTTCCTGTAGGGCAGGATGGACTTCTGTACCCCATTCCCTGTATTTCTTATTTCCCAGTAGCATGTGAAAACATTTTTTTAAAAACATATGTTTTTAAAACTTTAGGTTTCAAATTTTCTCTCTTCCTCCCTCCCCACCCACCCTCATTGAAAAGGCAAGCAACTCAATATAGGTTGTACATGTGCAGTTATGCAAAACACGTCCATAGTAGACATGTTGTGAAAAACTAACTCTATTTCCCTTAATCCTATCCTGCCCTCCCATTTATTCTATTCTTTCTTTTGACCCTGTCCCTCCTCAGAAGTATTTACTTCTGATTACCCTTTCCCAATCTGCCCTCCTCTCTATCATCCCCCTGCTCTCTTGTCCCCTTCTCCCCCTATTTTCCTGTAGGGTAAGACAGATTTCCATACCCAATTGAATGTGTATGTTATTCCCTCCTTAAGCCAAATCCTATGAGAATAAGATTCACTCATTCCCTCTCACCTTCCCCGTTTCCCCACTGTGAAGAGACTTTTCTTTTCTGTTTTTTTTTGTGAGATAATTTACCCCATTCTACCTCTCCCTTTCTTCTTCTCCAGTATAATCCTCTCTCATCCCTTAATTTTATTCTCCAGATATGACCCCTTAATCTTCAACTCACCCTGTGCCCTCTATCTATCTATCTACATATACATACATATAATTTTTTTCCTCCAACTACCCTAATACTGACAAAGGTCTCATGAGTTATAAATATCATCTTTCCATGCAGGAATGTAAACAGTTCAATCTTAATAAGTCTCTTATGATTTCTCTTTCCTGTTTACCTCTTCATGTTCCACTTGAGTCCTGTATTTGAAAGTCAAATTTTCTATTCAGCTCTGGTCTTTTCATCAAGAATGCTTGAAAGTCCTCTATTTCACTGAATGACCATTTTTTCCCCTGAAGGATTATACTCAGTTTTGCTGGGTAGGTGATTCTTGGTTGTAATCCTATCTCCTTTGCCCTCCGGAATATTATATTCCATGCCCTGTGGTCCTTTAATGTAGAAGCTGCTAAATCTTGTGTTATCCTGATTGTGTTTCCACAGTACTTGAACTGTTTCCTTCTGGCAGCTTGTAATATTTTCTCCTTGACCTGGGAACTCTGGAATTTGGCTATATATTCCTAGGAGTTTTCCTTTGGGGATCTCTTTCAGGAGGAGATCTGTGGATTCTTTCAATTTCTATTTTGCCCTCTGGTTCTACTATATCAGGGCAGTTTTCCTTGATAATTTCTTGAAAGATGATGTCTAGGCTCTTTTTTTGATCATGGCTTTCAGATAGTCCAATAATTTTTAAATTCTCTCTCCTGGATCTATTTTCCAGGTCAGTTGTTTTTCCAATGAGATATTTCACATTGTTTTCTAATTTTTCATTCTTTTGGATTTTTTCTAGTGTCTTGATTTCTCATAAAGTCACTATCTTCCAATTGCTCTATTCTAATTTTTAAGGAGTATTTTCAGTATTTTCTTCAGTAACTTTTGGACTTCCTTTTCCATTTGGCCAATTTTGCTTTTTAGGGCATTCTTCTCCTCATTGGCTTTTTGGACCTCTTTTGCCATTTGGGTTAGGCTATTTTTTAAGGTGTTATTTTCT